TGCAGCCTTTTAAGTTCAGTTTTTCAAAATATTGTGTAGTGCCTATATTTCAGATATTAGCTACAATAAATACCAAACCAAATGGAAATTGTTGAAAGAGAAATGGCTGCTAGAGGACAATTAGACATGTATGTCAGCTGAACAAAACAAAACAAACACAATGACATGTATGAATCTTACCAAAGCAGCTGGGTACGTTGCAGTGCTCCCAGCGGGCATTAGGATCCGTAGTGTAACACCATGGTCCATTGCTGTCCCCATCAGGGTTTCTGCAGAAGTTGGAGTAAAGCTCTGCTTGTGGGTGGCTCTGCGGCGTGAAACTGCAGCAGAAACATTTCGAAAAACTTTCACTAAGACATAAAAGGATATGAAATGATGATGCAAAATTAAATGCAAACACATACTTTGGCCTGTGTGGGTAGTTTGAGTCCCATCTTTGACAGATCTTTCCTGAGTTTGTTCTGGACTTTCTTCCTCTGTAATCTCTTCCTATTCCATTTACACACTCCAGAAGATATGCTAGAAAAGAAAAGAAAAAAAAAGACTAGAAATAGATTTATTGATGTTTATCACACATTTCCTATAGTAAATAATTTATCTGATCAGAGTTCTGTGATGTTTTACAAAACTAAATTAGTCTGTGTTTATAGACACAGCACCTCACTCATAATGGCACATATGCTAAACATTAACTACAATGTCAACAAAAAACATTGGAAACAAAAAACATGTAAACTAGAAAAGACTTGTCACTGTAGCCGACAGAAAGGACAACATGAAAACAGAGGCTTTAGTATTAGTTTTAGTCATAGAGAAAATTGAGGATCGTTACCATTTTTTTCATACAAAGCTATGGTGCTTCTGCGAAAGACACTGACTGTTTTGGAGTTTGCCGCTGCTGTCCAACACTCTTGGTCCTTTTCATTATAGATAAAAGACCTGTGTGTAAAAAAAAAAAATAAAAAAAAATAAAAAATAAATTTAAAAATTGTTGATTCCTTTCTTGAAAGGTGCTATACAAATCTAAGTTATCTACACATTAGGTTTTGAGGTGGCCAATGGAACAACACATACATGGACAAGGATTAATAATATGGTATTAATAGAAAGCTACTATGCCAGCTAACCCACTAAGAGAGATAAAATCAAATCACTTTTATTGTTACATCACATGTGTGCAAGTTTAACAAGCAACAGTAGTGTGCAAAATACAAGAAACATAAGATGCAAGCCAAATATAAGAACAGGAATGTGAGAATTATAAGAATAAATATATGTATAAATATAAGAATGTATGCACATATATTTA